TGTGTGTGTGTGTGTGTGTGTGTGTGTGTGTGTGTGTGTGTGTGTGTGTGTGTGTGTGTGTGTGTGTGTGTGTGTGTGTGTGTGTGTGTGTGTGTGTGTTGGATCCAAAACACTAAATAAAGTTTCTTAATGCATGTGTTTCACACTTAGTACATTTTACATTGAGAATTTTCCATTAAAATAGTTTTGCATCTTGCTAATCTATATGGACCTGATCCTGAGAGGTGAAACTTCTAGTGTAGTTCTTCTCAGGATTGGGCACTAACTTGGAATGTTATCTATCTAGTAACAAGTCAGCTGACTAACTTATCAATTTCCTGTGCTCTTCTTTTCAGTTTATCCCAGTTGTTCAAGCTGAGAGTGAACAAAAACCTGCTGTAAATGCGAGTTATGTCGCTCAGATTAACCCTGCAGATGGAGGTTGCCTGCTGGAGAAGTACAGTGACAAATATAGTGACTGTGAATTTGGACTGCTGGCCAACCTGTATGCCAGTCTGGGCCAACCCGGCAAGGTGAATATTTGAATAAAATTTCACTTCAGTGGGTGACAGCTAAAGTTAAACTTCTATGTTTCAGGCCTGCCTTTTCTTTCAGGAAGTACTGATGGTTAATATTAATGCCAAAATCACTTGAGAGAGAATGTCCTACACAAGACAATGAAGTTGATGTGAGGGGAATGGATTCCCCAGGTATTGGGACTGGGATATGGAAACTTTCACTCTTGAATCACCCATTGTAATCTATCCCAGGTTGATAATGACTGAACGTTATTGTCATCTGATTCTTTACTGACTTACGTAAATTGGGGGTTGTGGTCTTAGTTCAGTTCCTGATGGACAAGCATCTCACTCAACACACCTGGCACTAGATGGTCCCACAGAAAAACAAGGACTGTATGGTGCATGAAAATTGAACGTTGTTCTTATCTTTAAAGAGAGGGTTCCTTTATGACACGATTGAAGCCTGTTGATTGGCTCTGAGAGGTAAGCTTACACCTCTGTTTCAATTGTGTGACTAAATAAAGGTAATCAAAAAAGCAAATACATTCTCACATGCACAGAACAACTTATTGAATATTTAATAATGCAAAGGAAACAACACTTGTGAGAACCTTTAAAGATTATAGGATGAAAGTTTGAGAGTGTTTCATAGCAGCTGTGAAATACGTGATGTAGGAGGATAAGGTGCTACAGGACTAAGGGTGTTCTTTTTCTTTTAAATATATGATGTAAATAGTACACATTTGCAGAACATTGCAGCATGTGATAGGCATAATAAATGTATGTCTACTCTTCAGGTCATTGAAGTGAAGGCTAATAAAAGAACTGGGCAGTGTAACTTTGTGACCTGCATGAGACAAATTATAGAAAAACACTATGGAGATAAACCAGTTGGGATGGGAGGTACGTTTGTCATTCAAAAGGGGAAAGCAAAGATTCATATCATGGTAAGTTTTTCTTGATTCAGCCTCTTTATTTTTCTAACAAACATTCAGGGCAGTTCAGATAGAGCACTATTCTGCTTAAACACCAAAACTGTACATCACTTGACTCTAAGATTCCTCTTTTGTTGAGGCAATGAAGCTGTAGAAATAAATTGGGAAGCATAAGGACTTGTCTGCGTGTTTCCTCAATAGAATACTGTGTAAAACAAAGACATTTGCCATCTCTAGTAATTTTAATTGTTTGTTTGTTTTTTAAGTAACAGAGAATCCTATCTATAGCTATATATTTTAGAAATGTGCATCTGTCTGTGTGTAAGTCTGTTTGTTCAAGAACTCCTCCTGAACAGTAAGAGCGAGGACCACCAAATTTGGTGTACAACTTTCTCTTATCCTAACTTAAAGCAAGGTCAGGATTTGGTCATGCCAGAACAATGGGATGTGCCTGCAATTCGATTGTTTCTAATACAATGGAAAGGAAAGGGTCTGGTAGGAGGGAGTTATACTGTGGAATGACCACAGCGAGGCAGCAAGCATCTCAGAGGGATGCCACTGTCTGGCAGCAGCTGATACCTTGGCTGGGGAGTGCCAGTCAGCAGCCAGCACAGCCCCCATCACTCCCAGGCCAAACCTGGGGCGCACCAACAGGAGGCCTACACTCCCCCTCCCTGTGTCCTGGAAAGAGCCAGTGGGAGGCTTGTGCGGTCCCATCCCCTCACTCCCTGACTGGCTCTGGGGAGTGCTGGCAGTTGGCCTCTGTGGCCCCTCCCCCACACTGGGACATAGCTGATGGCTGGGGTACGCGGCCCCCTCCATCTCAGGCTGTCAGCACCGTAACTAGGTATTTTTGTACCTGGGACAAAATATTAATTATGTGCCCCCTCTCCTTAGGTTAGCACGTTTACCTTTACTTTTGCAGTGTATTATTTTTACCTACTGAGTCTTTGCGCCCCATTTTGATTAAAATGCACCCGGGGCGAGCACCCCACTTGACCCGCAGACTGGCCCCAGGGCAAAGCCAGCAGTTGGTGTGTGTCCCACTCCCTCCTCCCCCTAGTCCCTCTCCCCCCAGCCAGAACCAGCACAAATCCAGCAGCCAGGGCGCGTGGCCTTACCCCATGTTGCCTGGGTTTGGACCGGGGTAAATCTTCTAGTAGGAAAAACACTAACACTAACTTACACTAACTCTTCTGAAACATATGTGTGTCAGATATGTATGCCTTTAGCTGTATTCACATTGGGAACACAGTTCACAACACTTACTACTATCAAGGTTCTGTTATGATTTTCATGACTGAAATGGATAAGGATAAATAAAACATGATCCAGCTTGATATTCCTTTCAGTTGTAATTACAGTTTGGCTAATGTTGTTTTCAGCAAAAAACTGTCTACATCAATTGACAAGAACATGCGAGAATCCTGTTATTCTCGACTGTGTTCAAACTTAGCTGTTCTGATCCCAACAGGAGAGGATAAATTTACCCCGAGCATACAGGTTACCGATTCTAAGAATTCCCCATTTGGTACCTGAGGAATGGCAATGGAGTCAGCCATGGGTGTAATCACTTACGTTTCTGAATAAACAAACAGTTGTGAGTAATGCTTTTATTGGTTAAGGAGAAATGGGGAACAGAAAAGAATTTAGGGCTAGTGAAGTCAAGTAACTTAGAGAAAAGTATACGTCCCAGTATCTTCATTCACCTGATAATGTGTTTCTTATAGCCCCCAGAATTTTCTGCCTGTCCTTTAAACACAGATGAGGAAGTGAATAATTGGCTCAAATTTTTTGAAATGAAGGCTCCATTGATTTGTCAGCCAGTACTAGTTTCCAGAGATCCAGTAAGTGTAATTTTTGTCTGTAACTTGGCTTGTCATGATTGTCTCAGATTTATTGATGGTTTTTCTGTTCAAGAACGGGATTTATTTGTAGTTTATATTAAAGTATTTGAATGGTGTTGGAATTGGTGGCTTAGGCAATTGGTAACAGAATATAATTAAGCTTTTCACTGGTCTGAATTAAACCTAGGTCAGTAACGACTGAATGCTGATGTATGTTCAATTTCAAGAATGAAATGGTTGTTTTTAGTGCAGTTCTTAGTGTATAGGTGTCTGCATCCCAAAACAACCAGAACAACTTGCATTAATTGGACATACAAGGTACGTCTACACTGCACCATAGGCCAAATAAGATATGTCATTTGAGCTATGCAAATTGCGTATCTTACATCAAAATGGTTTATTTCAGAACTTTTGAAATAACCCGCTATTCCAAATGTCCCTTACTCCTTGTGGAATGAGGTTTACAGGGACGTCAGAATAGCAAGCCTGAAATAACGGGCTTGCTGTTAAGACGCAGGATAGCTATTTCGGGATACTTGACAACTTTTATTCCATTGGGTCTGTATTTGACAGCCTTTGGGCCCAGTGCTCAATTGCATATAGATTTCCAAAAGCCAGTGATGAATACTGTAGGAATGGATCTATATCAGTAGCTGTTAATGGAATATTCACAAGGAAAGCATCTTACATGTAGGTACTGTGTTTGTAATGATTGTTCCTTATTATTTGTATTAAATTAGCCCCCAGAGAAATCAAGAAACAGGACCCGTCGTGTTAAGCACAATTTATTTACAAAAAAAATTGTGTCCCAGGGAGCTCACAATTTGAGAGTGATAAAACGCAACATGAAGGAAAACAGACAAAATTTGGCTGCACTATAAAACATGTGGTACTGTGTCTAGCACAGTGGAGTCCTGGTGTTGAGGGATCCTAGGTATTATGGTGAAACAAATAATTGATAATAAAATCGATGCATTTTGCCTAATAGGTAGTAGTCTGAGCTTGCCACCAACCTAACTATTAGGTTTAATCATGTTAATACTTTTGCAATATAATCCTGTATTAGATCTCTAAAAAGCAAATAGCATTGCACCAAAAGGAACTTCTGCATTTAGGCAGCTACTGTGCAGAGCCAAATGCTTATACACTAACTTGATTATTTTATTACCTATGCTTTCTCCTGTCAGTAACTATCTATCTGTTACCCACAGAATTGGGCCAGGGACAGTATTTTTGTGGGGGCTGGGTTTTTTGGTTTGGTTTGGTTTGGTTTGGTTTGGTTTTTTTGTGAAGTGGCACAATGGGGCCCTAATCTTTGCGGGCCTATAAATGCTACCTCAACACAAATAATAGAGCCTGGCTTCAGAAAATTTGATCTCAGAACTGGGAGTCAGCATTTCTAGACTTTATCCCTACCTCTATCACTGACTCACTGTGGCCTCAGGTGAGCACTCTCTCTACCTCAGTTTACCAATCTGTAAAATAAAGATAGTAACAAGTTACTCCATATTGTCTGCAAAACATTCAGATCCATGGAAGATAAGTACAATATTAACTGCAAAATACTGAAGAATTACTCGAAAAAAAATTGTGCTCCTATAATATGTTGTCTCTGTCGTAGGGATTTGATCTGCGTGTGGAGCACACCCATTGTTTCAGTCACCATGGTGAAGGAGGACACTACCATAATGACACCACACCAGATAGCGTGCAGTATCTGGGATATTTTTTGCCTGCAGAACTTGTCTTTCGTATTGATAGACCCAAGGAATCTCATATGATTGGAAGAGATTAAATCCACAAATGCATACTTAGTTTGGAGTATAAGGATAGCAATTAATTTTTTAAATGAAATCTTTGGATTTGATCATTCCTTTAATTGATATCAAGAACATATGAAAAGGTGGCAATTATTTCAGTATTAGTGTTTTTTTTTTTTAAAGGAAAGGTATTCAAAGTTGAGATTGAATTCAGAAAAATATTTCAATCAAACAGATTTAATTGCATCTATATTTTAGCCAAATACTTTGTATTTATGATTTATTTTGTTCCATTTTGATTTCTTGAGACAGATATTAGTAAGCAATTGTAACTAGCTATAGAAAGCCATCACTGAATTAATGAGGACCTTCACATTGTAAATGGAGGAAAAGAGATGCTACTCAAGAATCTTTAGTAATTGGTAAGGATGTGAAAGGCTAACTGATAAGCATCACTCTAAATGGGAGTGTCTGTCCACATCAGGCCCAGGTGCCCCACAGACAGGGACTGCTCCGGTGGGGGCTGGGAGCCAGCAGCAGCCACAGGCCCCACATAAGGGCTGCGAGCCCACAGAGCCAGAGCCAGCCCCTGCCCCAGCGCTAGGCTGGAGCCGGCAGCCAGCCCCAGTGAGGGGTTAGGGGCAGGTGCCCTATGCTGGATTCTACTTAGTTGTTAACTGTTAGGTCATCCTGACATTTAACCAGGATTTTACATCCTTACGAACTACACTCATTGAAATTGTAGAGCATGAGAGGACCTATAGGTATGGAAATGCAACTTAAGGAGGGACTTTGCTTATTGTTACTGGTGCTTAGGAGCTAGCTAGCTACTTAACAAGCATAGGACTATTTCTAGGATTCTAAATGTTCATGTTACTGTTATGTCATGTGTACTCAATTCTTTTCTCATACCAGTCTTAATCAGGAATAATTTTATTGAAGTCAGGGGAGTTAAATGAGGCAGATAGATCACACCTTGTTTGTTTCTAGTTTTGAAAGATGAAGTACAGGAGCATTTTGGCAGCATCTTTTCCCCTTACACAGTGATATAAATATCACTGGTCCTGCCAACAAAGTTTTACTGAATTAAAACTCTTACTTGCTGTCAAGTGGATATCTCAGCTGTGAATAAAAAAATATAACAAGACTTATCCTAGCTACATGCTGAAAATGACATATGTATAAACCACTAACATACATATGCCTTAAAGCCAGCTACTCTCCAGCCTGCCATTGATATGGACAGCAATGCATATAGTAGAACACACATATGGTGCATTAATTGAAATATAAAGAAAATACTGAACATATGTTCTGGGCCTTGGAATAGCACAGGTACTTGAAAAGAGAGATGATGAAACACTCAAGCAGAAATTGTGGACAATCTTTTAGCAAACCTGCAGCAGCCTCTATTGAATGCTGTTTTGTGTAGCATTAACTCCTGTGCTGAAGGAGCAATAACCACATATGGGTTAAGGATGTTAAATAGTGAGTAATTTACTAATCGAGTAGCCAATGGAATTTCCATTGATTACTCAACTAGTTGATAGGTACTTCTGCATTCCTCCTTTGAAATGTACAAGAGCCCCTATTGGGGCTCTTGCACATTTCAAAGGAGGAATGCAGAACTCTGTGTGCAGCCCAGGGCCAGCAGGAAGTCCCGCTGACTCTGGGCTACAATTGACATGCAGGCTTTGAAATGTACAAGAGTCCCCAATGGGGGCTCTTGCGCATTTCAAAGCGGAAGTGCCCTCATGCAGCCTGGGGCCAGCAGGGGACTCAGTCTCCCACTCACCTGGGCTCCGTGCAGCGCTGCTGCTTTGAAATGTCATGGGGAGCCCATGGCAGGTTCTGCATGGCATTTTCCGGGAACCTGGGATCAGCTGAGGCCCCCCTGCTGACCCTGAGCTCCATGTGGCACTGCCCCTTAGACACAGCACCTCAGTGTTTCAAAGGGGCAGCACCTCATGGAACCCAGGGTCAGCTCTTCGCTGCGCTGTTTTGAAATACTGTGTACACATGTGGTCTCCTCACCTCAAAAAAGGTATTTTGGCCTTGGAAAGGGTTCAGAAAAGGGCAACTAAAATGATTAGGGGTTTGGAACGGGTCCCATATGAAGAAAGGTTAAAGCAACTGGGACTTTTCAGTTTAGAAAAGAGGAGACTGAGGAGGGATATGATAGAGGTCTATAAAATCATGAGTGGTGTGGAGAGGGCCAATAAAGAAAAGGTATTTATTAGTTCCCATAATAGAAGAATTAGAGGACACCAAATGAAATTAATGGGTAGCAGGTTTAAAACTAATAAAAGAAAGTTCTTCACACAGCGCGTAGTCAACCTGTGGAACTCCTTGCCAGAGGAGGCTGTGAAGGCTAGGACTATAACAGAGTTTAAAGAGAAGCTAGATAATTTCATGGAGGTTAGGTCCATAAAAGGCTATTAGCCAGGGGATAGAAATGGTGTCCCTGGCCTCTGTCAGAAGCTGGAGAGGGATGGCAGGAGACAAATCACTTGATCATTGTCTTTGGTCCACCCTCTCTGGGGGCATCTGGCGCTGGCCACTGTCGGTAGACGGGATACTGGGCTAGATGGACCTTTGGTCTGACCCAGTATGGCCGATCTTATTATGTTCTTATGGCATTTCAAAGGGCAGCGCCATACAGCTGAGCCCAGGGATCAGCTGTGCAACGCTGCCCCTTTGAAGTACCCCCTTCCCTGCCCCTGTCCTGCCTCTATCTGATAAGCTTTTGCTTATTGGATAGTTGGATTAGGCCGTAACATCCTTAGTATGGTTCCTTTGACATGTGCCATTGGTATAAAAGGCCCAGAGTGACTAACCCTCCCTGCCCCCAGCCTGTATTCTTACCCTTTTTCTGCCTGCCCTTGAAGCCATTAGGGGTTTAGCTTGGGCTAGCCAGCATACTGGATTGGTTTGTGTAGTGAGGCTCATGCTTGGGGTGGCTTAACTAGGGCTTCTCCTACTGTGGTAGGAGTCTCACGGCTCTGCCAGGCAAGGTGAAAATGAGCCTAGGGTTGCCAGGTGTCCGGTACTCAACTGGACAGTCCATTTTTGTGCCTTCTGTCCAGTAAAAAAAAATTCAGAAAATACCAGACATGTGCAATGTCTGGCATTTTCTGCTTTTCCAGCTGGACGCTCGAAGGGAGGTGGGGGGAGTGGCTGGGGAGGCAGGGCTGTGACTGGCCCTGGGAGCCCTCAGCAGGTTGCATTCCCTTGCGTCTGATGTAGGAGTGACACCTTGGGGGGGGGGGAGGAGAAGCCCTGTATGTGCTCCTGGGCGCTGTTCAAGCATGCTGTGCAGCTGTAGTCTGGAAGAGAAGCCTGCAGGTGCTTTGTGTTTGTGTTTAGGTGCCTTCCTTGGGCTCTCAGCCAAAACTGACTAGGGTGGAATTTCTGCTTCTTCCCACTAGGCCACCCAAAGACCTGGTTATGGGGGAGTCACCTTCCTACCCGTGCCTACTGCCTGAGTTCAGAGTTCCCAATGGTCGCCCTTCCCCCTGCCATTGCGCCCTGGGGTCTGCCTCTGCTTTGCAGAGCAGGTTCTGCTGCTTCCCCTGTCATTCCCAGCTTGGTGGCTCTTGGTAGTAGCTACACAGGGCCTGACCCCCACCCACTCTGAGCAGTGTAATCCGGCCGGGGGGAGTGAAGATGGGCTGGTCTCAGGTGCTTTGTGACACAGATTCCCTTCTATGCGCAGGGAGCATGGGTAAGAGCCAAGCTATATGCAGAGTTCAGTTTAGAGCTACACCAGCAGCTCTTTAGCAAAGGTGCTTAAGTGTCGAGTTGCCAGGTATTGACCCGGACAGGCCGGTATTTTTGCCTCCTGTCTGGTAAAAAATTTCAGAAAATACTGAACACCTAAAATGTCTGAGGAAGTGGGTCTGGCCCACGAAAGCTCATCATCTAATAAACCATCTTGTTAGTCTTTAAAGTGCTACATTGTCCTGCATTTTGCTAAAATGTCTGGTATTTTCTGATTTTTTTTTTTCCTGGCCAGGAGGGGATGGTCCCTGGTGCTTACCAGGTTCCGCAGGGGAGCTGTCCGGCCTGGTGCAGGGAGGCAAAATGGGGGGCAGCTTGTTAAGGCCAAAAAACCTCAAAAGCAAAATGTTTCTTAAAGGGGCCATGCTGGGGTTTTTGGGCTCAACAACTTTAGTCTCCCACGTTTTCCTTTTTTAATCAACAGAATTTTTTCCTGATTTTTTTTTTTGGGGGAGGGGGAGAGTTCAGTATTTTTTGTTAAACCAGCTGGGGCCCCTCACTTATGAGGCTCAGGCAGAAGGAGGAGGGGGAGATTGTTGCTTCTTCATGGCCCTGGAGAGGGCTGCTTGCTGCCCGCATGGATTCCCCCCCCTCCCCCAGCTGCCTGGGGCGGGAGGGATGTGAGAAGGCCAACCCACAGCCCGGGTCCCGTCAGCACAACTAGCGCGGGCTCCCCGGCCCTGCGGCGCAGGGGCAGCAAGTCCATAAGCGCTGGAACTTGGATTTCTCATGGGAAAAGGAGCGAACGCGGGAGGAGAGTGCGGGGCGCCCGCCCCATCAGCTGCGTCTAACCCCGCC